ACACAATCCGAGTGATGCGTCTTGTCACATTGAAAAGATATGTCCATGTTTAAAGGGTGAGGAAGCTAAAAGTGATATTTCATTAGCTGGAAAAAGAAATAATTCATAACTATTGTGTTCTCAAAACAGATTTATTTCATACCAGTGTTTTTTTTTGGTTTTCAAAGGTTTTATTTATCATTTCACCAACAAATAATTACACTAGGTAAATATCAGAAAATATATAAATGTGTGGGCTTTTTTTGTGTGGTCAGAGTTTTAATGCTTCACCTGCAAAACAACAATATATTTGTTTTTGTATGACTTCCTATACATATTTGTTATTGGTGCAAGACTAACTATCAACCCTTTGAAGATTTCAAATGATAACATTCAATTTGTTTGCACATACAAGTTGTCAACTGCAGATGGAACCTAACATTGAGGATAAGGGTGGGCATTATGTCATTTTTTAAAGATGTGCTGATTGAGTCCAGTCAGCAAATGCCGCCAGTGGAAAAGGGATTTACACAAAGTTGTAGTCCTTTTACTGAAAACTGATAACACATCTATAAGATGATACATTAACAGTGTGAATAATAAGGAATTATGTTTAATGTGCCTTTCTTAAAACGTATTGTGCTTGTGTTGTCTTCTCAGACTGCCATGGCTGATTCGACGCCTGCAAGACTGAAAGTGATTTTGGGGGAGAACAACATTGAAAAACTGTCTCTTCCAAATGGCATACCGGAATCATTGGATGACCTTCTCAGCAAGTTAAAGACTTTCTTTGGGTTAAAGGGCGACGTCAGACTGCAGTACATGGACCAAGACTTTGGCAACGACTTCTTCAATCTGAATTCCACCACTCAACTTCAGGATTTGGGAACAATCAAAGTGATCCACCAGCAAACAAATACACCTTTGAACATTGCCACTGATACCACATCATCGTCTTCACTTGAGTGTGATGGCAATGTTTCGTTGGCATCAGATGACACAATAATCCTCTCATCCCCCGAATCTGTGTCCTCTCGAGCCAAACAGTGGCCAGCGGACTTTCCGATTCCTCAATTTTCATATGACACGGAGCTGCAGCTAGTGAAGGGGAATTCTGAGTTTAATGGAAGCCACAAAATGTTGACTGTCAGCTCCCGAAGCAAGTCTGATATTCTGAATAGACTTGCAGAAACAATTTACGGGTACAAGGCCTATCCAGATGATTCACATTTCTGCACAGTAGCAGAGGCTCTTATCAAAAAGCATCCTTGTTTGAAAGAACCTGGCTCATTCAATGGCTGCAATGGATGGAAACAGCGCCTGAAATATAAGATGGGAAACTACAGGACTCAGCTCAAATTGCAGGGGTGCCCAGAGCTGGTGGTAAATTTCCTGAAATCTAAAGCTGCTACAGATGCTTTCCCTGCTAAAAAAGTCAAGACACATACACACACACACACACACACACACACACACACACACACACACACACACACACACACACACACACACACACACACACACACACACACACACACACACAGCACATCCACAATTTGACAACAATTGAATGATATTAATATTAATCCTTCTCAACATAAATGAAAAATATATATACATAGTAGATCAAGCTGGAATAACAATTAAACATAGAAGTAAGAGGGATATTATTTTCAATCTGCAATATGTGAGTTCAGGGTGTCCTAGCATTTTTAAATATTAGGTTCTGATCATGTGAGTCGTCCGAATAATCAGTGAGTTATCACAGAGTAGGACTCCGGCCAGTGATATTATTGTCCCATATTAGTGCAAAGTGATGCCAGTGATGTTTGTTGTCATGTACTCCTGTTCTAGGACTCCAGAACAGATGATCTCCAGAAGGAGATGGAGGAGCTCACAATGGGTGTGTTTGTGATACGGAAGGAGGGGGAAGGACTGCAGGAGCCACCAGACATCGGCATCATCATCGAGGGCGTGGAGGTGCTGAATGAACTGCCTTCAGTTGCCTCAGCTTGTGCCCTCCTTCTGGGTTTGCTATATGCACTCAACATAGCATATCCAAAACCCCTTCATTTCACGTTTGAAGTAGTTCAGAAAATAATCATGCAGCTTGACCAACACAAGATGTCCGCCAAAGTGCAAAGTCTGTATGGCAGACTTCAAAGCTCAGAGTAACGACAAATAAAACAACGTTTTCCTCCTCTGGGCCAACACATGGCCTAGTGCTGTATTAGCACAATGGCGTCTTGACATCGGACGTTGCTCATGTAAAAGAAAATGTTGTGGGTGCGGTAGGTTTTTGTTTCACCATTTTAGTTTTGATTCCAAGAAATGGTTATGTATTCAGAAGAACATAAACTTTGTTAATGTTTAAATATTTGTTTCTAACAGCTTTCATGCAGTGGTTTACTTAAGTAAAATATCTCTGTACTTAATGTATTTCACCATTGCTTCAATGTCCTGTTAATGTCAATAAGCATATATAATAAAGTATACATACATTATATTTGAGTCCATGATTTGTCTTTCAGCCAACTTAACATTTTAATTGTAAATAAAGTATTTAAATTATATTTAGTAAACTAAAATTTCATACCGAGGTTACTTAAAATAAATACTTTTTGTGAAACTGTAGATTTAGGTTGTTAATGAGCAGTATCTTAGTTTTGGGTAAAGCAAATAATTGGGTTGGAAAACTTGGAAAATGTAAACTGGATTAATGCAAACTGTTGATTTGAAAGAAAACACATTTTTAATTACATCTGACTTGAATAATTTGGGTTAATATAATTTAAAAACCTTATTTGAGAAAACTTAATTAAATTGTGTGTTACCAAATGAAGTAATTCAATTAAGTTGGTTCAACTATTTTCTTTTTTCAGTGTAGAGAGCAGAGAGCTGCTAGAGAGCAGGGACTTTCGTACGGCTCTCTTGTGAGAAAAGAGCTATATTTCTGATTGGCTGGGCGGATTGCAAACCACGCCCCGTAAAACTCCCAAAAAGTTTTGTGAAGCCGCCATTTTATTATCCTCGCATTAGCATTATTAGCATTAGCCCAGCGCAGAAACGCAGAGAGACTAACTTATGGCAACACAAAATAAAACATGGGAGCGGTGGAGATGAGGAGGTGTCGGCGTTCTGGCGATTTACTCGGAAGGCTGCTGGGACTCCCAGCAGCTTCTACTGAAGCCAGTCCCCAACTCCGGGGACTTCCGGCCGGGGACTTTGGGCGGTAGTATACGCCGTGAAGTGGTTTGCGGCCTGCCAGTAAACCCAAAGCAGAAGAAGAAGAAGTGACGTCAGCGGCTTCATTTGCCTAATCCACCCCCAGGTTCAAAGAGTTCTCATGAACTAAATTCTCATGAACCTTTGTGGGAAAAGTACTGCGGTGTGAATGCGCCTAATGGTATACTAAAATCCATGTGAAAAAAAATTGCTTCTCACTGTTCTTAGGTCAAATATATGCGATTAAAAATGCGATTAATTTCGATTAATTAATTACAAAGCCTCTAATTAATTAGATTAATTTTTTTAATCGAGTCCCGGCCCTAATAACATATAATATATATTAATATAATAATAAAAAAACATTATAATAAGCATAATATATAACATAACATATAATACATGCACAGCTATCAAGCATAGACAGTATATTTAGCCAGCTAGTAATGTAGCATAACATATCATATATATTAATAAAAAAATATTATATATAATATAAGTATAAGCATAATATATAACATATAATACATGCAGAGGGTGTCGTTTTTCTCATACTGATATTCTGAACAATCTGTGCTGTTGTATTTGCTGTAAAGTGTCTCTACTGTTGGCTAATTTTATTGTATGTACAGCACTTTGGCTCGACCAAAAATCGTTTATAAATGTGCTATATAAATCAAACTTGATTTGATTCACAGCTATCAAGCATAGACAGTATATTTAGCCAGCATGGAATGTAGCATAAAAATAGCATTCATTAATGGAGGAATAATTTAGTAAATTCAAGAAATTCACTTTATTATTTATTAACTTTATTATTTCATTTCATTTTATTAGATAATGTCTGCAAGAAGAGATGGAAGAGTCTGAGGGACAGGTTCTGCAAGGAAAATAATATGGAGAAGGAGGCCAAAAGAAGCGGGGCAGGGTCTGCAGGGGGGTACAAGCCCTGGCGTATCATGGCAGTGATGGGGTTTTTAACCCCATTCATCATAGACCGTGAGACGTCCAGCAATGTCCCCCGGCAGACCCTGCCTCCATCCACCCTGGTGGCAGAGGAAGAGAGCCAGGTAGACAGTGAGTCAGCCAGCCAGTCCACCAGCCAGTCCGCCAGCCAGTCCGCCAGTCAGCCAGGAGGAGAATGCTGAGGTCCTGGGCAAAACACGGGGGAGGGGGAGGGAGATGTCCCCGTTTGAATGAAGTCTGTTGTCTGCTGTCAGCAATTACCCAGCAATTGCCCAGCCAACCCCACCAGTGGTGGAGGAGGACGAGGACTTGCAATTTTTTAAGAGCCTCTTGCCCACCATGAGGCAGATGACAAGGGCACAGAGGGCAAGAGTCCGCCTCGGGGTACACCAGATACTTTTTGACGTGGACCAGCAGGACAATTTATAAAATAATAATTTTTTCACACATACTGATCCACATTACATTTTTTTACACTCATCACACACACTTCACTCAAATAAAACATTATTTCAAGTATGTTATGGCTATACTGTGTCTTCACTTGTTCATGTGGTTTGTCAGTTGCAACATACCAGAAGCTTCATGTCGGTATATATAATGTGCTTTCTTCTGTAATTGGTCATGTGAAAACCTATTGAAATTATGAGTGGTTTATCAGTAAAAACAGGGCTGAAAGAAAAAGGTTGTTAGTCATATCATAATATCAATTCAAGAAACATGTTTATTAGGAATGTTTGATTTTAAAATGGCTCATTTGGAATATTTGCTCTTTAAAGAAAATGGGTAGCTCTTAAAAGAGCTTTTGGTTTGGAGGAGCCATGGTGACCCTACACCACTTTATGCTGCCATGACACTACACCCTCCTCATTCAAATAGGAGCAGAAGGTCTCCCGCAGTTGGCTGGATTGGTGTGTGGCGTTGTTTGAGCCCATCATAGGTGCATCGCGCAGAGTTGGAGCTTCATCACTCGACTCTGCGACGACAGGGACGACAGGTGTGCGTGATGACCTTCCTATTGTCTTCCTGCGGAGGAAGTTGTGCAACACACAGGTGGCCTTCACACTAGTGCTGTAGAGACGCGTCGACGTTGTTGACGCGTCGACTTCAAAATATCGTCAACGACATATTTCCGCGTCGCTACACACACGTGGGTCACCCAAAGCAACAAGCAGTTCGCAATCGCACTTCAAACACAATGGAGACTGAAACGGCTACCACCTCCTCCTCACAGGATTGCGCACGAAGCCCCCAAACGAAAACATCTCGCCCTAGGTGTTCAAAAGCATGGGAATATTTAAAGTTAGTCCAAAACGCAAAGATATTTATATATTTATATCTCACTGAGACTGCTGCATAGCCTAGCAGAAGCAGCAGCTAGCTGTGGTGGCTACCATTAGCAGCTAGCATTTGCAGCTAGCATTTGCTCTCCGATTTTTACATACAAATGGAATTATGGATTATAAATTAAATCATTTTTTTATACATAGACGTTAAAAACCTATGGATTAACCGATTCAGCCGCGTTTTTTCTCATTTTAATGCCATTGAACATTTCTTTTGATCAGATTGACAGCTACGGTGGTGAGACGATCTCCCTAGAAGCTCTGTGAAGGTACGTGTTGTGATGACTGTATTTGCTTCCCCTGTCGCGAGTCCGGATCACTCAGTGATGATACTATATACCTACATAATCTGTGGGAGTCTCAGCTTTAATCGGATATATTGTATGTGCAGCTACGATAAGTAATAAGGGTGCTTTTATCTTGAGTTCTGTGCCAATGTCCGTTAGCATTTTTCGCTCAGGGGTCATTCAGATGCTTCTTATGAGACTTGTGTTTTGTTTTGGTAAACATGGTTTGTATCGTCAATTAGCTGAGATTATTTCCGTTAATCTGGTATAACACATTAATAGGTTCTTAAATATTAAGATCCCCTGAGACACAGTATCGTGAACAATTTTTTTTTTACATTACGTTTTTTATGAATTGAACAACAGAAAAATAATCGTTAGATTAGTCGACTAATCGATCAAATAATCGCCCGATTAATCGTTTTCAAAATAATCGTTTCCCCCCAGCACTACTTCACACACAACTCTGTTACCTCCGGGCTGGTGGTGATGACACGCCGGAACATTCTCCACTGAGATGAGAGGATGCCAAACGCATATTCAACCACCAACCTGGCCCGGCTGAGGCGGTAGTTGAACAGCCTCCTTTCACGCGTGAGCTGACGTCCAGGGAACGGACACAGCAGGTTGTCCAGCAGCGGAAAAGCCTCATCTCCAACAAACACATGGGGAAGAAGGCCCAGCCGCTCTGCTCCTGGGATGACGGTGTCAGGTGGTAGCTGCAGACTGCCATCTCTGAGGCTCTCTCCAAAAGCGGAATTCCGCAGGCTCCCACCGTCGCTGCTCCTTCCAAAACCTCCGACATCCACTACCCTGAAGAGGTACTGGGCATCCACTACAGCCAGTAGTACCAAGGAGTGGGTGCACTTGTAGTTGAAGTACAGGGACCCAGAATTTGCCGGAGCCTGGATCACCACGTGCTTCCCATCAATGGCACCAACGCAATTTGGAAAGTTCCAGCGCTCCTGGAACCCAGCAGCGATGGCTCTCCAGTCCTCCGTCTGTGGTACCGGCATGGTCTCCTCGACCAGCGCGGTCCAGATGGCACCCGCAACCTCCTTGACGATGACAGCCACTGTTGCATGCCCGACCCGATAGCTGAATGCTATGGTCCTGTACGAGTCACCGGTTGCCAGGTACCTGAGAAAAAAGTAATATACAAGATTTTTTTTTAAAAAGTTATACGCCACGCAGACAAACACACACACACCACACATCACAGACACACCACAGGCACACACATCACAGACACACACATCACAGACACACACCACAGGCAGACACAAACACCACAGACACACACATCACACACACACCACAGACACACCAACATACCACAGACACACACACAGACACGCAACACACCAACATACCACAGACACACCCACACATCAGACACACCACAGGCACAGGCACACACATCACAGGCAGACACACACACCACACCACAGAACACCACATACACCACAACACACACACACACACACACACACACACCACACACACACCACACACCCACACACACACACCCACCCACACACCACAACACACACCACACACAACACACACACGGGAGCAATACTGCGTTTACCTAGCTATCTTAATTAATGTCATTCATCTCAACTACATCACAGACTTCATTCATCCATTGCATGCATTCTCTCTCTTTATATACAGAGTCATATTAAAGAAGTAGAAATACACAAAACGTACCGTAGGCAGATGGCGAGTCGCTCGGCGGGTCCGATTGACAAACGCATACGGGTGTCTGCCTTTGCAATCAGTGGACCGACTTTTCCGAGCAACTCGTCGAACGCGTCTTGCTCATCCTGAAGTACTGCTGAAACAGTACAACCATCCAGGCGGAGCTCTTGGACAAGAACGTGGTATTCCCCCCGTTGCAGACGTTTTCTGAGTATTGTATGTACCCAACAGCGACGCACTATACGTGGCCTCCTGCGAGACATTGCATAAACCAACGCTAACCGTTGCTACAAAACCGGCATCCATTTTGGCAATAGTGTAGAAGAACCGGGCTTTTTTTTGCTTTGTATGCTGGGGCGGGCGGGAGATTCCTGATTGGTTGTTGGTCGCCTTGGGCGCGAGAAAGCGCCAAGCCTCAGACACGCCCAGCTTCAAGCTTTTTCGACGCCTGTAGTGTAGACGGGCCGTTACTTCTAACAGGGAAGTTTTCACTTCTCATATCTCCAGTTTCTTGTTTATTCAAACTGCTACTATTAAATACAAAGTAATTAAGTACACACATGAATATATAAAAACACACTTCTTATATATCAGGTGACATAATAAAATGAATCTACCTGTAATACGCTGTATTAAACTTTCTGCCATAACACTTTACTTCAATTTACACACCTGAAGTGGAAACGTTACTCCTGGAGGGGGCTACAGAGCTATAAAAGACAGTCGAACCCGGTGCATTTCTCCGTCTGAATGTGGTGCGCTTTTGCAAGATGTTTAGACAAATTGCTCGTGTTACCGCCCTTACATGCTAAACTCTTATTGCACTTTCGGCAACGAGCATCGAGACGGGTACAATTTAAACACATCGGAGCGCGTTTTCTCCGCCATCTCCTCCGGGTGTGTGTGTTGCTGCATGTAGCAGCTGCGTGTGTGTAAACTGTCCCGCCCCCTCGCAAGCAGGCGGGGGAGAGAGATCGAAAATACTAAAAATAATCATAGAAGCATTTTGCAGCCTTTTTGCGTATTAGAAACGGAGTTGGCGATACTAAAACTGCAATATAATGTTTGTGTAGCAATAATACATATGACATATATTTTTTACATGTCTCCAGTACCGATAAAAACACCGTTAACGTCGGAGCTTAACGGTACCACGGTCTTAAATAATTCGGCCCTGGGGCCCGTTTTAATACCGGGGCTAGGTACCCATCCATAATCAGGAGACAGCCCACAATGACATGTGGACATGTCTCCACCCCGCAATGAGAAATGCCATTGGTGCTCGAGGCTTTGGTTAGAGAACCGTTTGAGCCTCTGGAGCTCTCCTCCCTGAAGGATTATACAGCTAGACGGCTTTAGTCTTCCACTCCATACAGGGGTGGAAGGCTCTCCCCACTGGGGTCCGTGCACACTCTACACGTGGTGTGGCTGTATCGAGACCCTTGTTCGACGGCGTGAGTGTGGAGGACATATGTAGGGCGGCGTCTTGGTCTACGCCAAGCCCGTTCATAAGGTTCTATCTCTTGGACATGTCTGGCTCCTTCTCATCGTCTGTGCTTGCTGGGGCAACGCAGGAATGGTGAAAAGAGGGGAGCTGTGGGTCAGTAAGCTGTATCTGACCCCCTGGGACATAATACACTTACGTTTTCCCATGCTCCTTAGGGACCTGGGAAACGTGGTGCGCAGTGTGTAGTCACTTGCGCTGACACCTGCAGGGTTGAGCTATGGGCTTATTCTGACCGATTAGGCTCTACCCAGCCAGGTAAGCCCCGACTTCTCCACGGTACAAGGACAACTTCAGTGTGTGAACGCTTGCATATCATTGATGAGAGTAGTACCCATAGAGTCCAGTAGAGGGCTCCGCCTGTCTGGTCCAGGCTCTCGTCATCTCACGCCTAGACTACTGCAACTCCCTCCTGGCTGGTCTACCTGCATGTGCCATCCGACCTCTGCAGCTCATCCAGAATGCAGCTGCTCGTCTGGTCTTCAACCTTCCAAAATGTTCCCTCACCACCCCGCTCCTCCGCTCCCTTCACTGGCTTCCAGTAACTGCTAGAATCCACTTCAAGACAATGGTACTTGCGTACCATGCTGCGAATGGATCTGGCCCTTCCTACATCCAGGACATGGTTAAACTGTACACCCCAGCATGTGCACTACACTCTGCATCAGCCAAACGACTCGCTGCACCCTCGATGCGAGGGGGACCCAAGTTCCCATCAGCAAAAACACGTGGGTTTGCTATCCTGGCTCCAAAATGGTGGAATGAGCTCCCCATTGAAATCAGGACAGCAGATAGCTTACACATCTTCCGGCGCAGACTGAAAACTCATCTCTTTCGACTCCACTTCGAGCGATATAATTACTAACAAAGAACTGCTAACAGAGCACTTATATACTAATGGACTAATAGATAATACTAATAGACTGGCTTATCTATAGCCAGTTGAGTAGCACTTGAAATGTTTGGCTCTATGAAACCTGATGTACTTATATGATTCTGTTTTCTTCAAGGTTGTGTCTTCCTGGTCGAATGTACTTATTGTAAGTCGCTTTGGATAAAAGCGTCAGCTAAATGCAATGTAATGTAATGTTTATAGTACTAGGGTTACAATACGTAACCTACCGTTCCTCCTGTGTCAAAAAAATAAATGATTTAGGACACATCAAACTAAACAGCTTTATTGGATTTTGCGTAACTTTTTCTGTGCGTTATATTGTTTTATGCTGTTGTTGATGTTTCGAACAGATCAGAGTTGGTTTCACTGGCTAGATTGAACTCTACCTTGCTATCTGCTTGGTTAGTGTTACGTTTGCTGGCTGTGTTTGTTTCTATCCAACTGTCCATGGTTTTATTTGCTGACTTCTTATTTTTCGGCAAAAACTTTAAAAGAATGGTGTCGGCTACTCAACTTTATTGTACAAAGTGTTATGTCTCTTATATATTGTTTGAATGTTTTGTGTCAGAATGGACAAACATAATTGGTACTGAGTGACAGAGACACGCAGTAACCATTAAGCCATCAAAGTGATCGTTCTTTATTTTAGTCCTCCGTGGTGTTAGCATGCAAACCTTTACTACCCTCAGTATTTCTGTAGTCCTTTTATGTGTTTCTATTAACCACACGGTGGGAGAGGAGGAGCAAATAAAACAAGATCTAAAAATAATCGATAAATGTTTCATCAGATTTAAAAGACGGTGTTAGCCTCAGTTTTATGGCTGCTGCGCTACAGTTTCAGGGTGGCTAAGTCCTTGGGTTTAAAAGAAAGGTTTATGGTGCTGTAAACATAGCCCAATTCTCTTTTCCATTTCAACCACATAAACGGCTGACAGATAAGTAAATCTACACGTGAGAGTAGGAGCTCTTTGCCCTCGCTCCCTCTCCTCTGCAGGTTTCTCGGCACTTTCTGCTTTTTTCAGCATCAATATCACATGAAGGGTAAACGCCAGGATCAGCCGTCAATTTAATTGAGAATGGTAGCAAAGAGGACAAATCCTCAGTGATGACGTAACCAGGTATGAGCTGAATACACACCGTGGACCATACAATGACTGTCGCTCCGTCAACCATGATATGCTGTAAAACTCAGCTGATGTAATTATCAATATTTAAGGAAATACATAAATGTGTTGTTTTGGACTGTAGAATATATACTAGTCTGAAAATGAAAAGTAATGATTGCTTGCACTCAGCCTCATATCAAAACATAATCCACATCAATCACAATAAGCAAGATTATATGAAAATATTTTAAATAAATACACCTTCATGCAATGTGCATAGTCGGTTATGCCCACAGACTGATACCTCTCATCCACTTTCCATAACACTGCACATATTTTACTTTATTATTCTAAGTACTTGGCAATAGTATATAGTATACTACACATAGTTTATTTATTGTATATCCAGATTACATGTAAATAATTTTTCTATATCTTAATGTATAATAATTTAAACTGTTTACATTTTAATTTTCTTTAACTGTGTTTATGTATGCACCATGTACACCAAGGAAAATTCCTTGTATGTGTAAAACTACCTTGCAATAAACCTGTTTTTGATTCTCATTCTGACATCTATCAATGTGCATCACCATTCAAACATGTTAAATAACCCCACACAACACAGTAATCACCTTGAAATGTTGACTTTACTTTATCATTTTATAGGAATAAGCATAAGGCTCATGGTTTGCCTTAGGTTCAAAAATACTGTTGGAAGTTTAAAACACATAAGAACTTCAAGTAATGACATACTTTGTTACGGGGCCGGCTCTAGACACTTTGGTGCCCTTGGCGAGATTATGATTTGGTGCCTAGTTAACATTTATTTATTCATGCATTTCTTTTTAATATCTCCAGTTTTAAACGACATTTTTGGTTTACTGTCCTATAGTATACATTGGAATGATTTCAAACCTGTTGTTATTTATCCTAATAATTATAAAGGAGTGCCTTAGAAATATTTGTTTACATAAATTGTGACCAAACCGTTTGAGATCTAAACATTCAGAATCCTTTACCTCACTGAGCTGTAGTTATCAGCCTCAATCCGCGGTACCGATGTGCGCCTTCTCTCTCTTGCTCGCTCGCACTTTGGCTGTGAGCTGCGGGCGTCTGATAAGTCAACATCCCCCACTTTCATCACTTACAGCGCCCATCGTACAGGCAAATGCAAAATGTTGATGGCCCGGGGTGCAAAGGGTGTTCTATTTCATCCTTACTGACCGCCAGAGGCGGTGCTTAGCACTGAATATCTTCTGTCTCGTGCATGCGCAGGTCGAATATGTATATCAACAAAGTCACGTGTGACCTCGTATGACCCCGAAAGGCATAAGTTCCGGTGTTGTCAACGAGTTCAGTCCTTTTTCATCTTCTCGCTGCACAAGTTACTACTTTATGAGTAGAAGCCAAGCTAGCTTATTGAAAATTAGATTATAGCTCATCGCTACCTGTAGCCTTGTGATCGTGTCGATCGGAGCGGGCTAGAAAAACGCTCGCCCTCCAAAGGCTGCGACGAGCTGTCCGCCCGCCCAAGGGAGGGGACCCCAGGAGCTCCCTTGGGCGGACCGGTAAAGAGCGGACGCTCCTGCACGTCAGCCGG